TTTCACATCTTAGAACAGTCGTACACCGTTAGCAATTCTATTATCTTTTGGACAGACCACTTAGGGGGCTACATTAGGATAATATTTGTAGTAATATTAAGGTTAATTACGTCGGCTACATTAGGATAACATTAGGGGTAATATTAAGGTTATGTCTCAAGAACGTGCATAAGGCACAAGATAAGTCCACTCTAGACGATAATTATTTAGTACAAGATAAAAATTTATAAAAATTTATTAAGATATATAGGATGCGATCTCAGACGCGAATGCAGGCAATAAAATTTTATTAAAAAAAAGAAGAAGAATATAGCTCAGTTTGACTTAAAATGCATGGGCATTAGGATTCGGATCCTCTCCACTACAAAAAAAATAGTGGAGGGACCACTACATAATCACAGCCATTGATTATCTAGTTGATGGTTATGATTTTTTCTTTTAGTGCAAATTAGGAATGAGTGCAATACACGGGGGTATGGTAAGTGTTAGATTTAGATTGTATCATAACCGCCTACTAAATAATCAACGCTTGAGATTAAAAGTAGTGGTCTCTCCACTACTTTTTTGTAGTGGAGAGGATCCAAATCCCGGGCATTAAGCCTCCGGCCTCCCTAAGCTTAAAACTTACAAGTTAGTGTCTGTCGTTTGCATTTCTCACTAAATAGAAATTTTTAACCTAACCTAAACTTTGAACTTATAAGTTGGGACATGTTTGTCAACTAGAAAAGTAAATTAAAAGTAGAAAATGAAATGAAAGTATTTTCTGTAAGTACTTTATCTAGAATGCACTTTCTCTTCACTCTCTATTTGCAAATCATGTTTGGCAATAGGAAAATGAAAATGTGGAAAGTGGAAGAGGCGGATGACGTGACTCCATTTTATTAATTGATATATACTTTTGGTTTATATGAAAATTAAATGATAACACTACCACATTTAGGTCTATCGAAACGGTTGCAAACCGTCTCGCTAGATAAAAGAACAGTCACGTGACATCTACGGGACCAGTTCCGCATCCAACTCGGATACTAGCGTTCTCTTTGGTCTAAGGTGACGGTTGGTAATCCTATTAGAGCAGTTCATAAGCTATTCTCGATGCTGTCACAAGGGGATGGTTGCACCATGGGGACGGTTCTACGTTCAAGATGCGGTGACGGTTTTATAGATATGGGAACGGTTTGATTTGAAGCTATGGGAACGGTTTGTAGGCAATGAGGACGGTGTATTTTGCTGCTATGGGAATAGTTTTATGGCAATGGGAATGGATTTCCTTTGAAGCTTTTGTAACGGTTTCATTGCAAGGGTATCAGTTTTGAAATTGAATCTATGGGAACAGTTTGATGGCAAGGGGAGCAATTGTTTTCCTAATTTTACATACAACGAGGGTAGCATTTGATAGAGCAATGGTAACAGTTTAGGCATGCAATTTAAAAAAAAAAAAATCAAATGCCACCCCCTACAAGGCAGCAATTTTTACCTGCTTTATAATATCACAAACAAGGAAACAATAGTCCAAGTTTTATACACAAACTAACCAAACTTTAGCCTTAACATAATTAATGAGCAATTCATTACAACGAAGAACAACATTATAGCAATAGGATTGAGATTCATCACAAGTTTTTGTTTTCGTCCAAAATACATATCACAATTCCTCCATGATTAAAACAAAGAGTCTACTACTTAATCAAAAGGTCAAAAGGGCAAAAGGTCTCTATTGAGACAATTAAGTTCTAAACCTTCACCATAAACAAATCCCACAGAGCGATAAGCATGGATCTTCATATGTTTTCCTATATACATTGAGATAAAAAGATAAGCATATTGCACAAGAATTGAAAGAATGTAACTTAGTGCTAAGAAAATAAGCTCTAAATAAAACCACACCTTGAGAGGTTAACAATCCAAGTCAAACGAGTGAAAAACAAATAATTGTTCATACATATAGTTTATCTGCTTGGTTGCTAGTAGTAGAAATTTTGAATCCAACATAGTTGTATTTAGGAATTCACATCATCGATCACTAAAATAAAAATTACCTTGTGTCAGGGTTATGACTGTTGCTAGAGGAGCGAGCACGAACATCTTCTAGAGCACTATTAGCTTCCTTAGGAGACCTTGTGCATGCTATAAGTTTTGCAATAGCAGAAGGATCTGTTGTTTGTCCAAATGTTTCTGTCAAAAGTTTGCCGAAACCTTGAAGCATTTCTACCTTCTGTGCTTCAAACATTTTCATCATCTCCTTCTTAACCTTTTGTGATATAGTTTGAACAACGGACTCTGGAACATGATCACACGGATCCACAATCTTTTTATCTTTGTTTTGAAGCATAGTTTGAGTTACACCCCTTCCTCGAAGGTGTACACATCTAGCCCACTACCACATATTTTGAGCAAGTGCGACGGTTCTTAAACCGCCTCATATGCTGCCGTTGCCCTACCTCTACCGTAACGGTTTTGAACTTTATTGCGACAGTTTTTTGAACCGTTGCCCCCGCATCTAACGCAACGGTCTTAAAAGGTAAGCAGTTTTTAAGCCATTGCAACGGTTTTGATTGAGCTATTGCGACGGTTTTTAAGCTATTGCAGCGGTTTTGATTGAGCTATTGTGACGGTTTTTAAGCTACTGCAGCGGTTTTTTTAGATATTACAACAGTTTTAAAAGACCTAACGCAACGGTTTTAGTAGGCTAAAGCTATGGTTTTGATAGAGCTACGGCAACAGTTGGAGCTATTGTAACAGTTTTAAAAGACCTAACACAACGGTTTTAGTAGGCTATAAGTATGGTTTTGATAAAGCTACGACGACAGTTAGAGCTATTGCAACAGTTTTAAAAGACCTAACGTAACAGTTTGGATTGAGCTATCGCAACAGTTTGGATCGAGCTATCGCAGTGGTTTTGATCGAGCTATCGCAACGGTTTTAATCGAGCTATTGCAACTGCTCAATCAAAGCTGTTCTTGGTTTCCTACGTTAAAATAATTATAGTATTCAATTACCTGGACAATCTTTTTAAGAACATGGCCAAGTCAAATTTTAATACACAATATAAAAGTGATTATGTTGAGCATAATCAACCATAATGATAAGTGCCAACATACATCAGTATAGTATAAAAACTACAAAGTATTAAATCCACACTACCAACATTTCAACTCAGAAAATATCGTACCGAACTAACATTCAAACAATGTACATCAACATTTGATTACAAAACATGAAACTTCTCGGTCAAAGACTATATTCTCTATTTGTTTCCAAAAACTTGTTCCTCAATATCAAATACTCACTAGGAACCTGTCAGTATCAATCTCAATCTTGGCTTTCATCATTTCTGTACCTGTGTAAATTTCCATGAATCAGCATAATTTTTGCAATGATGATAATAAAATTGGGGAAAAAAGATGTTTGAAAAGGAAGTTAAGAGAACAATGTACATCATGCTTGTTTGTTGCCACAACCAAATCCAACCATTTTAACAAAAAAGGCTAAAGTTATCAAGAGCATCTAATCACAGCCATATTCGTCACCCTTATCCATAATCCCAACAGGGAATGAGCGAAGGGGGTCTTTTTTAAGTCACTTAAACATGATTTCGTTCCGATTGTTTCAATCGAAGAAATACTTTCCTCGTACCTGGGATAATTAGCTCAACTGAACTAACAAATTCGAGTTTCTTACTACTCCTTTGCTATTTTCTTATTTGTCATAGTATGTTCTTATATATATATATATATATATATATATATATATACACTTAATATTCAATTCAAGAAAAATTTACCCAAAGCTCTTTGCCTCTCACTTTAACACACATGAACGAGCAATCACAAGAGATCTGATCTCCTTCTATTTGCATCTCATAGCAAGAGCGAGTTCTAAACTTACCATTTGTTCGTAGCACTCCAGGTCAACTTGTCACCTTGAAGTCGAACCGGAGGAAAAGGACATCCTACCACACGCTCCGGTACATCCACAGTAAGCCATCGCTGCTGTAGATAGAGATTAGGGAGCATGAAACACGAGCAGCAAAGATGAGTGGTCATTTCTGAATTTTCTAATAGGGTCTTTGACCAGGATGGTTTTCGATTGCACACCGTAAGCGTCTCTGACATCATAGTCCTATGTACAGTTGTTTTGCATACAACTCCCTGAGCTTCTTTATCCCACGAAACACCTTGAATTTTGGGTTGTCTCACGAAACCCCTCTAAACTTGAAACCTATCTATGCGGACGTCATCCGAAATTAGCGAGTAACTAAAACGTCCTCAAGAGAAACCTCTCACTACCACATATTTGCTCTAACGCAACGGTTCAAAACCGTTGCGCTAGCCATGGAACCGTCGCCCTTGAGCAAGTGCGACGGTTCTCAAACCGCCTCATATGCTGCCGTTGCCCTACCTCTACCGTAACGGTTTTGAACTCTATTGCGATGGTTTTTTGAACCGTTGCCCCCGCATCTAACGCAACGGTTTTAAAAGGTAAGCGGTTTTTAAGCCATTGCAACGGTTTTGATTGAGCTATTGCGACGGTTTTTAAGCTATTGCAGCGGTTTTGATTGAGCTATTGCGACGGTTTTCAAGCTACTGCAGCGGTTTTTTTAGATATTACAACGGTTTTAAAAGACCTAACGCAACGGTTTTAGTAGGCTAAAGCTATGGTTTTGATAGAGCTACGGCAACAGTTGGAGCTATTGTAACAGTTTTAAAAGACCTAACACAACGGTTTTAGTAGGCTATAAGTATGGTTTTGATAAAGCTACGACGACAGTTAGAGCTATTGCAACAGTTTTAAAAGACCTAACGTAACAGTTTGGATTGAGCTATCGCAACAGTTTGGATCGAGCTATCGCAGTGGTTTTGATCGAGCTATCGCAACGGTTTTAATCGAGCTATTGCAACTGCTCAATCAAAGCTGTTCTTGGTTTCCTACGTTAAAATAATTATAGTATTCAATTACCTGGACAATCTTTTTAAGAACATGGCCAAGTCAAATTTTAATACACAATATAAAAGTGATTATGTTGAGCATAATCAACCATAATGATAAGTGCCAACATACATCAGTATAGTATAAAAACTACAAAGTATTAAATCCACACTACCAACATTTCAACTCAGAAAATATCGTACCGAACTAACATTCAAACAATGTACATCAACATTTGATTACAAAACATGAAACTTCTCGGTCAAAGACTATATTCTCTATTTGTTTCCAAAAACTTGTTCCTCAATATCAAATACTCACTAGGAACCTGTCAGTATCAATCTCAATCTTGGCTTTCATCATTTCTGTACCTGTGTAAATTTCCATGAATCAGCATAATTTTTGCAATGATGATAATAAAATTGGTGAAAAAAGATGTTTGAAAAGGAAGTTAAGAGAACAATGTACATCATGCTTGTTTGTTGCCACAACCAAATCCAACCATTTTAACAAAAAAAGCTAAAGTTATCAAGAGCATCTAATCACAGCCATATTCGTCACCCTTATCCATAATCCCAACATGGAATGAGCGAAGGGGGTCTTTTTTAAGTCACTTAAACATTATTCGGACAAAGCGGCGATAAACCAGTTTAGTTACTAAATAGGTTTAGTTATATGAACAGAGGAAATAAAATCACTAAAACATATGAGTTATGCCGTCCTCAGTGACTACCATGGACTCTTTGAGGTATTATCACAAAACTATCACATACTTTTCTGAAAGCACATGGGCAGCGTTCTACTGATTTGAAAGTTATGATATATTTCTCTAATTGAAGTAGTTTGCATATGATACAAAAATTGATAAATATATCTGGGAGCAGAAACAATACCGATTCAATGGCATAGCAAGGGACCATCAAGATAACACCAACCAGAAACTTCTGCTCCTGTAATTTCACAGACAAAAAAACAAAATTAAAAAAAAATCCAAATCAAGCTCAAAAATAACAACGAAGATGACCAATGACGATGACCGATGACGACGACGATGACGAGTCTCTATAAACACTTCTGCATCTGTTGGAGGCCGGTTCAATTCCTTTTCCTACAACAAAACAACGCATCTGTTGGAGGCCGGTTCAATTCCTTTTCCTACAACAAAACAACACATCAATCATTTAGCCATTCATTGCATGTCTAAATCATTTAGCTATTCCTACAACAAAACAACACATCAATCATTTAGCCATTCATTGCATGTCTAAATCATTTAGCTATTATTAATGCATAATTACACTGTAAATCATATATAAACAACATGATTACCATATCTCTACGAATTCTTGCAAAACTTTTTGAACCCGCTGTGTGCAAGAGCGTTTGACTGTTTCGACTTTCCTTATTCTTTTCACTTGCTTTCTACATAATCAAAGAACTTCTAATAAGTATTCTTTAATCAAAATAAGCTAAAGCCAACCTCGTAGTGCTAATGATGTAAAGAAAAACAGGATATATTAGAAATAAAGACTGAAAATTCTGCAGCAAACCATCTGAAACAACAGCCCAAGGTGACTATTCTTGTTTCTCTCAAAATAAATAAAGGCCTGCAACCTCTTAATTTGTTCCTATACATGATGAAAACTACTACTTCATGCCGGTAGAATAATACGAAATTTGACGTGTTTATATGCGCGGTGAATAGTATACGCAAGCCTTTGGTTGGTAATAATATTATTGTATTAGCAAGCCACACGTATTATTAGAACATTCCTCTCTTAGTTAACAACCTATCCTTTTTGTTTACACCTTTTAAAACCAAACTAACAATCATGGAAACTTAGCTTTATGGTAGACCTTCGAACATAAGCAAATTATTAACAAAACGTGTCCTGTTTCGCTTACCCATTCCCATCAAAAAATCACCATCACCGTGCTCACCATCAAAGCTTCATTCAAAAGTAAGCTATTATTAGCTACAAAAAGCGTATCACATGTGACAAATATTACATGTCAGTGGGTCATAATATCCTCTGATTTGTTATAACTTAAAATTCAGGTCATAATATCCTCTGATTCGTTCACAAAGTCATTTGTTCACAATCATTGTGACATGTAATTTGAATGTATATGCTGATTTCTTTCAGTGAGTTATTCGGATAAGTAGCAATTGTAAGCTGATTCTTTACTCCAATCATATTTATTTTTCCTTTTTGCTAGTGGTTTAGAAAAAGTCTACAGTCTCCATGATGTACCATTAGTTCTATTCAACTGCTGGGAATCTGCTTGAGTCCTACTTATAAAAACTATGATAATTTAAGTCTGATCCATGATGTACCTTATGATCTGACAGTCAGTGAGGGAACTGAATTTGATCAGAGTTTCCAAGAAGTATCGTGCAAAGATTAGTTATCATCTTAAAGAGGACCATGTCATACAGATATAATAATTTAAGTGAATAAAACAGAAGGATCAGACTTGCTCATCTGATTAAACTCAGACATCAAGAAATCGTTATCCTATTTAACTCAAACCTGTCCAGATCTAGTCCTGTGGCTTTAATTGCGTTTGTATACATGTTTGTGTACAAAGCAAAATGTGTACGTGTTTGTGTCTGTTTGTGGAGAATTAGTAAGGGAGAATGAGAAATTTTGCAGTACAATGTAGTGTTTTGCCAAGTGGTTTAACATATACATGGAAGACCTAACTAGACACTAACTACTGGATTAGTCTATACAGCAAATTTGTGCAACGAAAAAGAATTTTAACTCATTTCAAGCATCTGTATAATGCCAAGATCATAAAATAAAATAGCAATAGTGAAAAGAGCATATCTTATATTACATCGTGAAGATAGACTTTGTCAATACCTGATGCTTGAGATGTGTATGTAACTTGACTCCCCGCTGTTGTAAAGGACATCTCAGCTATATTATTGCTTGTGTCTTGGGAAGAAAAAGGAGAAAAAAATAGGACAAATTAGTTTCAGACCACATAAAAATGCCAACTAACATCAGACTGAGATATTTGATCAAACCTTCATCCTCGCTCTCTGTGTCAGCTTCATCTTCGCTGAACTCATGCACCTTAGGCTTAATGTTGAGCCACTTCCTCATTACAGTGGAGGGCCAAAAGGGCTAGTGAAGCAAAAGAGACAATAAATTTGATTGGCATATGAAAGTCTATGGATAACTTCACAAATAACTTGGAATCCGTAGAAGAAATCTACCTCTCCATGTGCTTTCCTCTTCTACTCTTCATTGTCTACACGCCTTCTAAATTCCACGCACCTCCACAGTTATTACTAAGCAGTCATATGCTCTTATCAAGAGCCCTTGACAGTTATAAACCACGAGGACAGATTACAGGTTGCTTTAGATTCAAGGAAAGAAGCAATGCAATGCCAAAAAAGATCGAAGGTAAAAGAAAACATGTGGTGTAGAAGAACAGAAGGAATTTTTAAAAAGTACCAACTTGCTCCAGGAGGTGTCCATAAACAACATATTTCATCCCCTACTGCTCCATTAGCAAATGCTCTCTCAAGAAAGTCATTGGCATTATTAATGAACTCCACACTCACTCTAGGAGCATTATACATCCAATCTCTGTTTTCCGCCATTTATTATATGGTCTGGAGAAAGAAAAAATTGAATAACACTATTAATAACTACATATAAATATTGTGATTAATAAAATGTAAAAATCAATCCTCTTGTTGCCATTAATAACAATTTTCATTAGATTGTATCCTATATAAGCCGATTTCTTTTTATATTAGCAGTTACATTGCAAGTCATATATGCTACAACAGTACTATTCTGAAGATTATTAAAAAAAAGTATACAGCATGACATTTACTGTATTAGACTCACAAAAATGTGTTTAATGAAGCAATATTTAAATCATTTATGACAACCCCAAAGAAGAATCCATAACTGACAAATTATTGAGTTTAAATCAAATTTTAGTTCGACCAATTGCCAATCATACTGATGGGCTATAGATTATTTTAGTTATTTGAAACAGATCATTTCAGTTATTTTCAACTAATGAATTCAAGGATACTCTAATAAACTTAAGTTTTTACATGTTTGGACAATTTTGCAGTATACTTATAATGTTCTGACTTCCCACTTACTAAGAAACAATAGACCCATCATTGTAATAAGACATCTCTTCCTTAACAAATTAAAAGGAGGTTAATGATCAACTAGAATATATGAAAATTAAGTTGCACCACTAACAATTATTGAGCCCAGAAACAATTATTAGAGCTATGACATCAATTCAAACACATTCATGATGTAGCAACTATATTTGTAGTTCCAACAATCTTTGCCCTAAAACAATGTCAACAGAATTGAATAGCACGGAGCTGAATCTAAAGTATACACAACATGAAAATTCAAATAAAAATATGTTCAATCGTCAAAAATTTACAGATAAATAAGATGCAAAAAGGGAAACGAGAAGGTTGAATCTAAGAGTTCGGAGTGGAAGAGAAATCTGACCGAGTACCAGCTGAAACCCTAGAAAGCTCCGGCGAGGACTGGGCTCGATTTCTGGAGCAACGAGAGTAGCTCGACGATGAAACCAACGAGATGAAAACGGCGACGAAAGTTAATGGACTCCGGCGCTGACTGAAAACGGCGATGAGACCAACGAGAGTAGCTCGACGACGAGAATGACAACAAGCTCGAAGATGATATCGGAGAGGAGATTGGAGATGAGATCCAAGATGAAAACAATGACGAATTCAGTGATGAGATCGCCGATTAGACGAAGATCTTGGCCACGGCGATTTTAGGGAGTTTTGGCCATGGCGGCGGCGATTTTAGGGATTTGAGAGAGAGAGAGATTTCCTTTAACTGGTGCGGTTTAAGCGGTGCGGTCAAACAGTGGGCTTTACTCAAGCTCAAAGACCACTAACAATTATTAAGCCCAGAAATAATTATTAGACCTATGACAACATTTTATATTAAATGTTGTATTACATCCTAAAAAACATTACGATAGATATCTAACGCAACAGTTAAAACCGTTGCGCCTTAACCGTTGTAGTAGATCAATTATGTGGTAGTGTAGGATGTTCATCCTTCTTGACCCATATCCCATGGATTGTCATATTGATCTTTGAGTTCTTTTAAAGCACCCTACTGTAGGCTGTCTAAAAATCACAACAGATAGCTAATCCCCATCAAACACCGATGACGGAAGTTACAATCTGACGACTTCCAGAAGGCTACAATTTAAGGACTTTCATGTAGAAGGTTACAATCTGACGACCTTCACAACAACTAATGAAAGTCCCAATTCAACAGCCTTCATAATCAACATCGGGAGTTACAATCTGACGACTCTTATATTTTCAAGGAGCCAAGACGAAGATTACAAGGGAGCTATTTAAGAGGGGACGGTTACACCCCACTCAGCCCATTGAGGAGCAAATTAAGGGGGCAGTTACACCCCCTTAATCCCCTATAAATACGAGAAACTCAATTGAGTTAAAGGAGGGGATTTTCTCTCATCAACAAAGGGAGACTCGGTCAAGGGCTGGCTTTTGGGATCTTAGACTTGGCAGCAAAGAGGGAATTTCTTGGAGATCGGCATCATTCTCTAACAGAGATCATCTTCAAGATCGGCAACAGGAGCATTCCCTTGGCTGATTAAATCAACTCGGTTCAAATCAACTCTTTTTCAAGAGTTTCCAACTTGTCCAGAGTTATCAACTCGTCCAGAGTTATCAACTCGTCCAGAGTTTCAAACTTGCTTTGCAAGTTCTTCACAGTGTCAAATCGTGAGGAGAAGACTACGTTCCAGTGAATCAAGACGGTCGGATCGTCAACGGAGAGCAAGTTCGACACAATCAATCGAAGGAGGCACTCCATCGCCACCGTGAAGAACCCAGTTTTAAACAAAGGGGAGAGTCAAATTCATTCTCCTCTCTTTTGTAATCGGAATCCAAATTGTAATCGATTTTGAGAGGAATACAAATCAATTTTTCTTTCATTGTCTTTTTACATCAAATTTCCAACAAACAAAAGATGGCGACTCTGCTGGGGACTAGCTTCTCTGACGAAGAAGTGGTGGCGCAATCTGACGTTCATCTCACTGGAACGACCGTTGAAACTCTGATTATCGAGTTTGATCAAGCCAAGTACGAAGAGGCCCTCTCCTCCGGATCCCTTAGCCCCAAGGCTATGCGCAAGATCCACAAAGTTTCCGAGGAGACTAAAGCTCCAGTTATAGCTAACTCATCTAAAGACTATCTCCCATGGGGGTTGTACTGTTCATACAGTCCCCTCTCTAAAGGAGAAGACTCGCCTTCGGCACAACTCCAAAAAAGCCGATCCTCCAATCAATGCGAACTCCGTGTTTGCGAGCCTCAACATGAGCTCTGCATAAGCCAAGCTAAACGCAACCCTCAGGTGTGCGTTTCCCAGATAGAACGCAGCCTTCAGAGGCGCATTCCAACATCAAAATGCAGACCTCAAAACTGCGTTGATCTGGCTGAACGCAACTCTCAGGAGTGCGTCCCAGAACCAAAACGCAACTCTCAGGAGTGCGTTCCAACATTTAAACGCAGACATCAAACCTGTGTTGATCTGGCTGAACGTAACTCTCATAAGTGCGTCCCAGAACCAAAACGCAACTCTCAGGAGTGCATTTCAAAAACTGAACGCAACTCTCAGGAGTGCGTTTCAGAATCCGAACGCAGATCGCAGGACTGCGTTTCACTAGCAAAACGCAGACTTTAGTCTTGCGTTAATCAAGCTAAACACGATCCTCGTGTTCCTTCTTTGGAACACGATGTGATTCGTCGTGTTCAAAATGATCAACATGGATTTAAAATTCATGTTTACCAAGAACCAGTCTCATCCTTTAACGGACAGGGGGTTCCATCTTTACCCTCACGCTCCGTGAGAGGTTCATCCCAAGTCTCTGACTTGTGGGAATTGCTGTCGATGTTCAACCGACCGACGAATGTCGTTTTGCTCAATAATCGACGATATCCTCACAGGAAGAAGACTTTAGAGGATGAATACCTTGGAGTCACTTCTAACATGGTTGGTAGAGAGAGATCATCAACCCTTAGTTCTGACGAGTCAGAGACAGATCGTTCTCCAAGAGTCAGAGAAATCACTAACGAGTTTGAAGGAGTCTACCAATGCACTCGGACGCGAACAGGAGCCATTCCCCCTGTCAACTATCAGAGTTTAGCCAGAGGAACTAATTCCTATGACGAACACTCAGCCATTGTGGAGTCCCAATCATCAAGCTCTTTCGTTGGGCATGAGAGCTTCGCCCACATGGCAGAACATTCTGAAGATCTTTCAAAGAGGGTTGATGAGCAGGAGGCCATGCTCAAATCACAGCAGGAGGCCATCAATGAACTCAAGACCATGTAGGAAAATCGTCTTCATCCCGACCTCACACAAGCAAAGGGAAGGGAAAAGTGGTTGATGATGCGGCTTCTGACCAAGAAGCCCACAGCCTGGAATCTTCCTCTGATGAAGGAAGAGAGACTGAGAACGAGCAGAATCTTCAGTCTGCCAAAATGGAAGAATTGGAAGCCCGCCTTAAAGCCATTGCTAACAGAAGCGAGCTCCAAGATGAGGGAGTTATCAGACCCTATCCTGCCGAATGGGATGCAGCCCCTTATCCTCCAAAGTTCGAGGTCCTGACGCTACAAACTTTTGACGGCACGGGATCACCGAACCAACATATTTATCATTTCAAGTCACAGACTGGAAATGTAATATCAAACGATGCCATACTGGCTCGATTGTTCATTGGCACCCTTAAGGGAATTGCCTTTGAATGGTTCAGGAAACTGCCTGCGGGCTGTATCCAAAAGTGGGCGGATCTAGAGAGACTCTTCCTGTCAAGATTCTTTGAAGAGGATACAGAAGTCTCCATTCATACCCTTCTCGCCACCAAGCAGAAGAAGAGGGAGTCCGTCAAAGCCTTCGTCAAAAGGTTCCGATCCATGGCTCTCCGGTGTTCGTCAGGTATGACACAGTCTACCTTAGTAGAGACCTGTCGACACAACTTGCAAACCAACCTCCTAGCCTGAATAGTAGTTGCAGAATGCCGTTCTTGGAGACAACTAATCTCTTAAGGCGACCAGGCTCAAAAAATCATTGCCAGGATCAAAGCTGAAGAACAAAGTAAGCAGGATCAGCCCGAGCAATCAGACCAAGCCCAATCTTCTCCTGAGCAACCGGACCAGGCTCACTCTTCCCAGTCAGAAGGGAAAGATACTACGGCCACTGAAGTCAATCCTC